CTGCGCAGCGTCGACGCCGATTACTCGCGTATCTTCCGTACGTGCAAGCGCACCGTTATCGTTTTGCCGCAAAAATCAATCAATCGAGCGTTCTGACCCACTATGCGCACCGTGATGTCCGTAACGCTTCCCGCGATGACCGGTAGGTGAATGATTTGACACGGCGTCTCCGTCAGTTTATATCCCGGCGATACGGTCGGAGCGAATTCGTGTATTGTGTGCACGGAGTGCTTGTTGCTGTACGCTCTCGCGGCAATGTTGCATTCCACGCGAATCACATTCACATTCATGATGTTCACCGGTGCGTCAAACGCGTACCACCGGTTAGGTTGCAGAATGCGCGACGATGAGAAATCGAGCAGCGAGCCGATGTTGTTGGGTTTGAAAAAGGTGACTCGATAAGCGCACTTGATCTCGTTTTGCATGGTGTTGTCGTTGGCGCAAATTATTTATTAACGCGCTCTTGTCACCCATATCGGTATCATCGTCATCGAACATATCGTAAACATCATTATCATCATCATTGTTGGTACCGCTTGTCGTCGTTGTCTCGCCTTCGACCGGATCTCACTGTCGACGTCTGCAAAGCACAGCGGTGTTCAGAAAACGAGCGAAGGCTCACTACTTGTACGAACTTTTGTACGAATTGTTATCGTTTCATCGTTATCGTCGAAATAGAACTTGTTCGTTGAATCAACGTTTGGTATCGTGTTGTACGACTCGAAGTTTGTAAGACCGAGTTTGTAGACTCTCGCTCAGATCGATAGGTGGATAGTAACTCACCGCAATACCGCTGCTTCTACCGGTTAACATGAGCGTGATTGACATTGTTGTTGTTATGCGCGAGAGTGATTTTCTACCATTTTAAGAGTGCGTTCCGAGTTATGCATGAAACGCAATAAATAACGCAATAAAGTGCATTACTGCTGTGAAGCGCTTTAAAATTGTTCCGTTTTATTAATGCGTATGAAGCGCTTTGGTAATTCAAAATGATTTTCTGTGCGCTTGTGCGTTTTATGTTTTTTTTTAGACTACGTTACGAGCAATCGTCGTTGCATCATTGTTTGTAATTGTAACTACCCCGAGTAGAAAATCAAACACGGCCCTAAGAAGGGCGCGTTAGGTTTTGTCCTGTTGCCTGATAAGGTCTTGTTAAGGCAGCCTGACAGCGCCCTGATCACAAATGTAACGTCGTGTTACAAATGGCCCTGATAGCAGGTTTCTGACCGGGCTTTAGTACGGCGGATCCTTTAGGAGCCTTATTATTTTTATAACCCCTGATAGAAGACTGTAAGGAGAAGAAGAAGGTTTGTGGATTAATATTAGCCTAACAGTTTTCTTGACTTGCACTTCCAGATTTATCAGAGGTTTTTTCACTTTCATCCAAATTTTCTATTGATGAACAGTTTTGACTAGCGGTAAATGTCGATGGTTTTAATATTGAATAATCCTTATCTAAAATCAAATGTTTCATAAATGTATATACTCATAAGTATTATGTATAGTATATGTATGTACGTCTATGTAAATGTTAACTATAAATAATATTGATGCAAAATTTAAACATCGCACTACTTGGTCCTAAATAATACTTTTGCGTCACCTTAGACGTGAAAATAATCTTTAGGGAATTTAGATTTTCAAACCTGGATTTTCTGAATATATATATATATTCAGATCTAAACGGATATGAAATATCCGGATATCTGAATATATATATATATATATATATATATATATATATATGTTCAGATATCCGGATATATATATACACATATACATTTCTATATAATAGTAATTTAACCTACAAATAATTACCTACATTATTTAAACTACAAATAATGTAGTGTACGTGCCTTTTTTCCAAATTGCACGAAATTTTTGAACACGTATTCGTGTTAATTTTCTAATTTTTTCCGCACGATCCATTATTTTTTATTTCACTTCACACAACAGTATGAAAATTGCAATTTCACAATGAAGTTTTCTAACTCTCGATGATTTTTATTTCAATAAAATGTGCACATGCGCAAATTCAATAGAGAATTTTAGAAAAAAACTCAATCAGGACCGCATAAGGATTTCCTCAATGAAGCGCTAATAGAGCAGCCCTCATTGCGGCGCTGACAGAAGGGCCACACGTATCAAATAATACGGTAACCTTGATGTAGACACTATCAGCACCGGATCAGGTTTTCCAAAATAAGGCAAGCCATGACATTACCTGATTGCGCCCGGAGCAAAATGCAGGCAAACCTTAATCATTTTCTACTCGGGACTTTAAATATTCATGTTTTAAAATTTAGTTTCCTTTGAAATTTATTGGTTTTCCCGAAAATATTGGAAGACTGACTTCGTGCTTATATGTTTTAAAAATATACGAGACGCCAATTAATAAATTCCATTGTAATATCTTTGGTGACGCTTTTAAATAAAAACGTTGAAAACGATAATTCTGAATCAAGCAATAGAGTGAAAATGAAAATGACATCAAAGACATTTCTAGTGACAGGAAAATGTTGTATTTTATATTAATGATAAATAAGTTACGTAAAGAAACAAGTGCAAAGAAAAAATTTTCGAATTACATAGAGCGTGTTATTCTATTTTTCACATTACACCAATACTATATTTAAAGAACATTTTAGGATTAGGTTAAGTCAGGTTAGGTTAGGTTTCCGGGCGATTTTTCTTTACCTTGTCGTGGTGCCCGGGTTTAGGAGCGGTGAAGCGAAGGGCTATACTGTCGGGGAATCTTTGGATTCCCTGGCAGGGTCACCCATGCCAGGAAGGCCCTCGCAGAGCTCCTGTACTAAGAGAGGAAATAAAAGAAGGAAAACTTCGAACAAAAACCGGAGGCTCCCAGCCTCGCTTAGCACTTCTTGCCGGTGCAACTGGGATAGGGAAGAAAACTGACTGCAAATCCGGAGCGTCCGACTCCGTCAGCCACGGCGCAATCGGACTAGGAGAGTAAACCCTAACTAAATATCCGGGGCGTCCAGCTCCGAGAGGCGCTAGCGGGTCGGCCACTGGACTAGGGGAAGGACACCCCTGATTTTAAACTCGGACGGGCTCGTTACTTCTGGCCGGGAACTGTCCTAGGAGAAAGAAAACTCCGAAATCAAACCACCCAAGAAGATATAGAAATAGACAAAGAACAGCGAGGATCATTGAATCAGATGAACGGACACCTAGGTCCCGGCCATTCAGGGGTCAAGGCCCTGCCCCCGTTCGGTCGGTATCAAGTGAAAGGTCGGATGTCTTGTGCGCTGCAGACGAGGCGGTCTCTTTGGCTACTGCAAGCTCATTGAGGGGCGTACCGTCCATTGATATTAATGTGGTCAGCGTCAGCAGCTTGCTGATGGTGAGGTCCTCGCGTGAGGTTTCTTCGGACGTCGCGGTCACCGGGACGTACCATCTCCCGGAAAGTGAAGGGGCGTCGGCCAGCAGACGCCGGAAAAAGAAGGTCGCTGGGAGCCAGCCTGGAGGGAGCGACATTGTTAGCCGCTCTGGCCCAAAGTCCAGCAAGGCTGGCTCGCTGTTGGTCACAACCGGCAAGAAGACTTCCTCCCCACTGTCATCCAAGGGGAGGAGAAGGAAGAGGCCGGTACGTGCGGCCACGAAGAGGCGCCGACAGGCGGATCCCGAGGAGGAGTCGGAGGGCTCCTGGGGATCCGATATGAACGTTTCGGGGGACGACTACCGCAACATGCCGCCTTAAAACATTGCGGCAAAAATGGAGGCACGTCTCGCTGAGCTTCACCGACTCCAAAGTATAAGCAAGAACCTCAAGGGGACGGTGAAGCACAGCATAAAGACATGCATTGCGGAGTTGCGGGCCCAGCGTGAGGCCCTGGTGGACTGTGTAATGGAGTGGGGGGATAAAACTACCCTCCGTTTGAACGCACAGGTCGCCGAGAGGGAGCGCGATGATCTCCTTCGGGAGAATGCCGTCGCCGCTGCAGAGCGCCAAGAGTTGGTGCAGCAGTTTGAGGTTCTGCGGACGGAGGTCGAGGAGCTGAAGGTGGAGAACGCCAACCTCCACATTAGCCTGATGAGACTGGGAACTGGACCAGGCCCGGCGGTGGTCCCCTGTGAAACGGTGACTGTCGCCATGCGGACGGACGTCGTCCTGGCCCAAGAGCGGCCAGAGAGACAGAGGAAATAGAGAAGAAAGGGCCGACAGTCTTGTCGGTCGAGGTGATCCCGGCGGGGAGTAAATCCCTTCTGCCGGGGATTGTTCCTCCCCCTCACAAACATCGGGAGAGGAAAAAGAGGGAGGCCCCGGGCCTGCCCGAGACAGGCGTCCCGGCAAAGCTAGCTTGGGATGAAGATCAGCCCAGGGAGGGTCTCAGCCGCCAGCTGCAAGAGCTATCACTGTGTGTAGCTTCACTGCAGCAGCAGATGGCGGCTATGATGAAGGGGGGGCCTCTGGTCAAGCGGGCTCAACCCCTCCGGGCTGGAGAAGAAGATCCACCTCCGGCCTCCCGGAAGAGTAGCTCCGTAAGGCCTGCTGGTTTGGTGGGCAAGGGTAAGTTCCCACCTTTCCAAAGAGTGGAGGTAGTGCGCCGTGGTAGGCGCGGGAAAAAGACCTCGGCGGAGGAAGCGGTGCTTGTCGGCGCTTCCGGTGTCGCCGCTGGAGTTGCCAAAGGGAAAGGGTCCCCTGCCCGGATGGCGCTGAGGCTGCCCCAGCAGCAGCGACGGCAACTGTCGCAGCGGCAAACACCGCTGCAGCAACAGCGGCAAGGGCAGCTGACGAGGGTGAAGCCCCCGAGAAGGAGGCCACCCAGGACGGCAGCAGTCGCCGTAAAGTGTCTTCCCGGCAACGACAACAGCCGGGAATCATACATTGCTGTTATACGGCTATCGCGGGAGCAGGTGTCCCTTACAGACTTGGGTATAGAGGACATCCGCGTCCGCAAAGACATGAGGGGAGACCTCCTCCTGAAGATACCAAGGGAAGGGGGCAATGAGAAGGCGTGCGCCTCACGGGCAAGGCGATGGTGTTCCGCCCCATGTACAGAGGCGAGGTGCGGCTGACGGAGCTTGATGCTTCCGTCAGCTCAGAGGACGTAGCTGCGGTGACGGCGGGGGAGTTCGGCCCCTGCCAAGAGGGCGACGTCACAATGGGCCTCATCGTTGAAAGCCGCGACCGTATGGGCTCGGCCTGGATGCGCTGCTCAGAGGGGGTGGCGACGAGGTTAGACCTTGTGGGACAACTCCGGGTTGGCTGGTCCAGCGCTCGGGTCCTACTTAAAACGCGCCGGCTCCAGTGCTATAGATGCCTGGAGTTCGGCCACGTTTGGCAGGCGTGTTGGAACAAGGTTGACCGCACCCGCACCTGTTTCCGGTGCGGTAAGGATGCGGATTACACAGCGCGCACCTGCTTGGCTCCCATGCAATGCGTGCTGTGCGACAGAGGCCTGTCCACCGGACACTGAATGGGAGGGCCATCTTGCCTTTCACGTCTGAAGAGCAAGAACGGAAGGAGAAACCCCCCGGAGCGGAGGACCGAGATAGCTGCCTCGGCAGCCAAGATGGAAGTGGACTGCGGTGATAATGCCTGATATCATTCAGGCTAACGCAAATCACTGCGGTCCGGCACAGGACATGCTGAGGCATGTTTTGTGCGAACGCCAGGTGGCGCTTGCGACAGTCGCGGAGCCATATTACATTGAGGATGATCCGGGCCAAGTGGTGGATCTTGACGAGGTGGCAGTGGTCATTTGGTCGCCCCGCTCCACGTGCGAGGTGGTGGCACAAAGCCATGGCTTTATGGCAATGCGCTGGGAAAAGGTGGCAGTGTTTAGTTGCTACTTCCTTCCTAGCGCGAGCAGAGCGGAGTTCCGCGATTCCCTCGACGCTCTTTCCGAGAGCATAGAGAGAGTGAGTGGGGAGTCCCACCTGGTGTTGGGCGACTTTAACGCTTGGTCCACACGGTAGGGCTCTGCCTCCACGAATGTGCGTGAAAGGTTGAGGGGTGGGCGGATAGAGCTGGATTGTCCCTGTTCAATCAGGGGACGGTGGCAACGTGCGTCCGGCCCCAGGGGTCCTCCGTTGTGGACCTATCTTGGGCGTCGGCAGCTGTGACCCCGCTGATTCGGTGTTGGAGGGTTCTCCGAGGAGTAGAGACCCTGTCGGATCATCGATACATCGGCATGTTCATGGTCGATGAGGAGGGAAGTTTTTGCGCAAGGAGGTTCATCTTCTCTTGCTGGAAGCGGGACTCATGGGATCTGGACATGTTTGTGGCGGTGGTCCGGAGATCAGCGTGGGTCGTCGCTGGGGACCGGGATGGGTCCTTGGCGGAGGAGGTTGTGTGGCTGGCTCGCGTGTGTGCAGACGCTTGTAATGCGTCGATAGCCCGTGCGGGTCAGTCGGGGCCTTGCGGAGCCATGTATTGGTGGTCGGCGGAGATCGCGGATCTCAGGGCACGGTGCGTATCTGCGCCGGCGATACTCCCGGGCACGAAGGCGTCGTCGGTATGACCCGAATGCGATGGAGGCCTCGCGCGTCCTCCTGCGCGAGGCACAGCGCGCCCTCCGTCGTACCATCATGACGGCTAAAAGGGCGGCGTGGAAGGACCTCACGGATACCTTAGATAAGAATCCGTGGGGCCTGGCATACCGGGTGGTACTGGCGCGCCTGAGACCATCCGGTCCGGGAGTGACTGAGATGCAGTCGGTGGATACGGTCCGGGAGTTGGTCCGGACTTTGTTTTCCCTCCGTATGGGAGCTCGTCCGGACCTACGGGAGCGGTGTACTGCCCCGGAAATGGACGGTGTGACGTGCGAGGCTCTGGGGCGGGTGGCGTCCCTGGCCCCGGAGATGCTGCTGCGTTGTTATACGCGATGCCTCCGGGAGGGATGCATCCTGCGGGCGTGGAAGGGGGCCAGGTTGGTGCTGGTTTCCAAGGCATCCCGCCCCCTCATCCTATAGGCCGTTGTGCCTTCTGGACGAGATGAGCAAGCTCTTTGAGCGGATCCTGGCGATCCTCATTGAGGGGGTCGTGCGAAGCAATGGGAGACTGTCGGATCAACAGTTTGGGTTCCGACCGGCGCTCTCTACTTGTGACGCGGTGCTCCGTGTCCGGGAGATTGTCGGGGTCCACCTGGCGCGAGGGAGGACATGCGTTGCGGTTAGCCTGGACATCCGCAACGCGTTTAACACCATGTCTTGGGGTGGTGTCCGGGCGGCTTTGCGGGACTGGGGTCTTCCTACTTACCTGCGGGCCGTCCTGGACGACTACTTTGCGAACAGGTATGTCTATTACCCCTGTCAAGACGGAAAGTTGAGGTCCCACGCTGTCACCTGCGGGGTGCCACAGGGCTTTGTTCTGGGGCCCCTGCTGTGGGAACTCACCTACGATGCGGTGTTGCGGATCCGGCTGCCGCCGCGTGGACGTCGTATGCTACGCCGACACACTTGTGTTGGCGGCGACGTCGCGGGCTGCGACGTCCGAAAGGCAAGGCTTCGTGCAACCCTTGCGGTGGTCAATGTGTCGGAGTATATCTCCACACTCGGCCTCGCCCTGGCCGCTAATAAGATGGAGGGGGTGGTGTTTCACCCAGAAGGACGGCCCAGAGACCCGGTCCGGATCTGGGTCGGGGAGGCCCAGACTGTTTTGCGCACGTCCGTGCGTTACCTGGGCCTCCTTGTAGACCAAAAGTGGTCTTGGAGAGACCATCTTGAGTCTGCGGCCGAGAAGGCCGGTCGGATGGCGTCGGCACTGTCTCGACTGTTGCCGAATGTTCGGGGCCCCAGGGAGGCCATGAGGCGTTTGTATCTGGGGATCGTGCATTCTGTTTTGATGTACGGCGCCCCGGTCTGGTGGGAGGCGCTCGGTCGGGGCCGTCTTGGGGCCCCGTTTAATTGGGTGCAAAGAGTGGTGGCTCAACAAGTGGCCCGGGCCTACCGCACTGTCGCGCTGGGGGCGGCGCGGGTGTTGGCCCGTGTCTTTCTGGGCGACCTGTTGGCTCGACAGTACGCCGAGTTGTTTGAGAACATCCGCGAAAATAAGGCCCGGAGTGTTGAGCTCCTTCCGGACCATGACGACGCGTCAAACCATGACCATCTGTCGGCGCGCGCACCAGCGCATGGTGCGAAGGTGGAAGGAGAGAGTGGTCGCCCCCTCTCGCTACGGCACTAAGGTGCTAGAGGCCATCGTCCCGGTGTTGGAGTCATGGGTGGGGCGGAGACACGGTGAAGTCTCCTACCACCTCACCCAGGTCCTCTCCGGGCACGGGTGTTTTGGAGACTATCTTTGCCGTATCGGCAAGGTAGTTTTGCCGGCGTGTGCCCACTGTGGCGCCGCGGTAAATTCCGCCCAGCATACGCTGGCGGATTGTCTCGTTTGGGACCGGGCACGGGCCGTCCTAACATTATCGGCGGCGGGCGGAGATCTCTCCTTTCCGGCGCTTGTGCGCCGGATGTAGGAGAATCCCGACGCATGGCGGGCCGTGGTGCATTTCTGCACCACGGTCATGACCGCCAAAGAGGAGGAAGAGCGTGCTCGGCAAAGGCAGCCCCGTAGGAGGCCGAGGGGGGGGGCGATTAGCTTCTCCTTATCACCCCTTCCTAAAGGGGGGTGATAGAATTGTCCCTGCCCTTGCCTTGACCGAAGCGGGAGCAGGAGTTCGCGTGGATGGTTAAGACGGGGAGGAGGACAAAGGGTTGCAGGTGGAGGGAGCGGGGGCTCTTTCCCACATTGCACGCAGCCCAGGCAGTGATGGCCAGGGGGTGTGGTTCACCCTGGCCATCGGAGGAAAGTAAGAGGGTGGCGACACGTAGGCCGCCAGGGCACTGCGGAGAGCACCAAGAAGTATAGCCGCAAGGCTTTCCAGGGCCCTTCCTTGTCAGTGCAGGAAGGACCACCGGGGAGTTTTAGTTGGTATACCTCCCAGTTTGAGAGGAAGTCCAACATAACCTTGACCTCTCCCCAGAGGGGGCAGAGTATGCGTAACGCATTTCTCCCCGTAAAAAAATGTTAGGTTAGGTTGTGACCGGACGGGACTGTGTTTCGTGTACTGACTCTCGGTCGCCACCTACTTTAACCGACCAAGTAGGAAGGATATGACTTTTCAGTCTGTTTTAGGAACGGACTCACCAGACAAACTAAATCCGACTTTGCCACCCTCGTCTTTGGAACTCCTCAGCTTACGGATCCCGTACGATGAGTGCTGACCACGGATCGCTGGTACAATTTCTGTCCTTTCAAATAATGTGGTGAAAATCAATCACACACACAAGTTTATAAGTTTGTGAGAATATATAAGTTTATTAACACTTGTCTTAGTACAATTTTTTGAGTGTTATTTGATTACGCAGCGAACGCGTGATTATCAACCGTACTCGGTATCGCGATCTTAATGCGTACAATATTTTAACCACTAAATGAAGTGCGACACGCTGTTATAACAACCGATTTTCTTTATTAGGTCGTTCGTGTGCGTTGTTGAGCGGACTCGATTTTATTGCGCTATTTCCGTTGTGAGCACTCTATTCCAATTACTTGGTTTTAACACTTACTTTGATCACGACACGTTTTAAAAACGACCGACTCGTATTGGTACGTTCGTGTGCGTTCTTGAGCAGAGCTAAAATTTTAGGCGCTGTTTACTCGGGAAGCGTTCTAATCCAACTGACTCGCGGCGCGCTCGGCTCAGCCAAGTCGCCGCGCCATCCCTACTCCGCTCTTACGCATGCGCACAACCTATACAAAAACAAGATTTTCTAAAACTGCTAGATTTTGACCCGAAACGTTTATTTGGTCACAAATAAACGCTCTGATGCAATTTTTGTCAACAACTAAAATTTTTCCAAAATTGAAATTTTTCAATAAATTTTGACTTGAGACGTTTATTTGGTCACAAATAAACGTTCTGGTTCAATTTTCGTCAAAAACTAAAATTTTTCCACAATTGCAATTTTTCAAAAAATTTTGACTTGAGACGTTTATTTGGTCACAAATAAACGCTCTGGTTCATTTTTGCCGAAATTACAAATTTTTTCCGAGGTTAGGTAGGTTAGACCTAACAGGTGCATTTTTTCAACTGTGTAATTTCGATCAAACTCGATGAGTTTACGTTAGAAAATCGTGTTTCCGGTCCTATTTCGTCAAAATCACAAAATTCATAATTTTTGTCAAAGTTAGGTCTTTTGACCTAACCCGAACACTCTTTTCAAAAATGCGTAATTTTGATCAAACACGATGAGTTTATGTTGGAAAACCATTTTCCCGGTCTTACTTTGTCAAAATCACAAAATTCACAATTTTTGTCAAAGTTAGGTCTTTTGACCTAACTCGAACACTTTTTCCAAAATTACGCAATTTTGATCAAACACGATGAGTTTATGTTAGAAAATCATCTTTCCGGTCTTATTTCGTCAAAATTGCAAAGTTTGTAAATTTTGTCAAAGTTAGGCCTAACCGGCGCAATTT